TAACCATTGACTACAAAACCCCTGATGCTACAGACTAAACTTTTAATTGTCACCCAACCTTCCCCCCCCCCAAAAAAAATAATACTTGCGACTGTTAAAACCTGATACCTCTTATGGCCTATTAGGGCCTGTTCACATGAGTTTCAGGTCCGCATCAGGTGCGGATCTGCAGACGCGGTGCTATGTGTTTTTGCCGAGTTATTGCCGCATTTTTGATGCGTTCCAGTTAGAGTTCCAGTTGCTGGAGTGGGGCTGTCAGTATGTTATTTATACTGCATACAGTATAGTATGCAGTATTTTTCTGTCATAACCTGAACGGACTGTGCAATTGAGAACTATAGCCCATAAAACACATAGGGATACATTGGGATGCATTTTTAGTGCAGGAGCGTACGGATCAGGTCAGCACAGAAAACGGACGTTGTGTGAACAGGCCCTTAAAGTGCAGCACTGAAAAAGTGCCACACAATGTTTCCACAGCTGAACCTAATGTTTACAAATATTCCACATTTGCACTCGGGTCCTCTTACTTAAAAGCATTAGCTAGCTCTACTTGCCTTTTAAGAATACTAGATATATGTTCAGATATCCTATCTTTTATTCTCTGCGTGGTCTCCCCTACATATAATAAATCATATGGATATTGGATATATAAGACCATATAGTCTGAATTATACATATATTAATCTTGAATATTATAAGATGCTTGTCCACTGATGGTATATCTTATCTCCCTGGATAACATTATCATTGTGCACATTCAAGGCATGGAAGAGTACCCTTCCTTCTCTCACCTTCTGTCTATTCAGCTTAGCTGAACCAATATCTGATTTTACCAGTATATCTTTAATAGTGGAGGCCCACTTATAAGAGATCAATGGATTTGAACGAAATTTGGGAACATAGGAGAGATTATCAGATAAAATCTATTTTGTATAATCCTTTCAAATTAGGGTACAATGAGTCAAAATGGGTCAAAAAAGTAATACAGCCTCCCTGTTCTTTCCTCTTGAACTTCTTATTGTCCCTCAACTCTAATATAGTTAAAGTGATACTGAACTCAGGAGTTAAATCTTTAAAATGCAATCAAGTACCTTAACTATTAACAAAAAGGTATCTTATACAGTTGTAGTACACTGAGTTCTTTTGCATCATGGGTCAAAAATAAATAGAAAACAAGGTTATCATCACACAAGTGGGAGGAGTGATGCATCGAATCAATCAGGTGGGCGTCCAGGCATACACAACCAGGCTCATCCCAAATCTAGGATATATGTTGTAAGGGAGCTTATGAAAAAGTTGAAAGATTGGTTGGCATATAGCTTTCTCTACTGCCCACCCTGACTCACCACAAACTGAATGGACACTCGGGGTGAATGAAAGATGCACATGATGATATAAACCTATATTTCAACCAATCTTAGTAAGACCTCATCTGGAATATGCAGTTCAGTTTTGGGCACCAGTTCACAAAAAGGATATTGTGAGAGAGGTGATTAAGGGGGGACATGATCACCATGTATAAATACATAAATGGTCCATATAGTGAGCTTGGCGCCAAATTATTCACTTTAAGGTCACTGCAAAGAACAAGGGGGCACTCTCTAGGTTTAAACTTTGCATAAGGAAAGGATTCTTCACAGTTAGAGCTGTGAAAATGTGGAATAGACTCCCCAGGAGCTAGTTCTAGCTAGCTCAGTTAATTGTTTAAAAAAACATCTGGATGTATTCCTAAATGCACACAATATTACTGGATATTGTGTACTTATAGGTATATTAAGCATCAGAGATTGTTGATCCAAGGAGTATATGATTGCCTAATGGGATCAACGATGGACTTTGTAACTATGTAACAATCTTGGCGGTTTTTCCAACTAAGACTACTGCTTACAGCCATGTGTGGCCCAACTGACTCCTACATTGATAGCCTATACTTTTTCATAAGCTCCCTTAGAACATATATCCTTTATTGGGGATGAGCCTGGTTGAGTATGCCTGGACGCCCACCTGATAGATTCGATGCATCGCTCCTCCCACTTGTGTGATGATGTAACCTTGTATTCTATTTATTTTTGAGCCATGATGTAATAGAAATATGTGAACTACAACGGCATGCCCATAAGCTCCTGAAGAAGCCGTGGTAGAACACGTAGAGCAAGAGTTGTGCACCTCCCCATGGAAATACTATTGCATAGAAACTACTAGGTTAACTATCTATCATATATCAGATGAAGAGGTGCAGGTTCATGATAGGCATACAAGCTCAATGTTTTGCAAATAAGACTATATATGTTGATGATTTTAGCTTTATTATACAATATTTACCTACAATGTACACAATAAAATATATTTTTTGTTTATAAATCGAAGTGGTCCTGGTGGTGCCTAAAAAGTCAGTTTGCTGTTCTTCCCCACCCCGGCTAGTTAACTGACTAAAGACATTTACCAATAGTTCTTTTGACAACATTTATATATGAACTCATTGTCGCTTTTATTTTTTTTTCTGCCGAACATTAAAATGGAAAATAGATCAGCCCTTAGATAACTGGAAGTAATGTGATAGTACCTTCTAGGAAAGTGGTTTACTCTTTTCAGGTATGTAAGGAGCAAGCATAGTTGGGTTATACATATTTCATGTATGCAGACTTTTATTGGAACTTCAGCCAAAACATTTTAGGGAGGTGTTAGAATGTCAGGTTTTATTGCTCTCTGGCCTTGTTGGGTAGATTTTATTTCCTCACTTCATGTTATGGACACATTTTCACCTATATAGGAAGTGTGGGGAAATTTCTCTACCAGAGAAAAAACAACTAACAGTCTATTCACTAAAGGGTTAAGAGTTTGGAGAAGGCAGGAGAAGTGAATCTAGGACAACATAGCTGAACTGCAAAGTGAGGTGAATTGGAGAATTGTTTTCGGAATTTAGCTATGTTGTCCTAGATTGTTCACTTCTCCTGCCTTCTCCAAGCTCTTCACCCTTTTGTGAATAGACCTCTAAAACTATACAAACACTAATCCTCGCTTTCTCTACTTCTTGATTAATCTTTGAAATCACCTGGTAACCACAGTCCAACCTATACTCATTTTTCCTGAAAGAAAGAGAAGAATACAAAAAACTCTTGAAATAAACAGAAAACAGATAAATAACAACACAGACAATAATACTTAAAATTACTTTATCTCACTTAAACTCTTTATTCAAATTAAAATGCAAATCAACCTGCTTTACTGCATAGTAACTTTGAATGTACTGTTTGTTGACTCCAATAACTGTGTCAGAGTTGTTTGTGTCCAGTCATTCCTTAAAAGTTGTTTAAGAATTTATTTTAATAAAATATTCAAACAGCTGGCAGATGTTTTTCACCTGACTTTGGTGTTCTGATATTATCTGTCCCATTTGTTTTCAGCGTAAATATGTTTGGTATCAAGTGTGTGATAACTTTCTATTTTATTACTAATTTCTGGTTATAAAAAAGAATGTACCAGTGTTTTCTGGTCTGATGTTAATGCAAGGTATGTTATTTAAATTTGAGCAACCAATTATTTGGTATCAACCATTTTAATATACTATCCTGCAAAAACAATTCTTCACTACAATGTATAACAAATTTAGAGCCTCACATTGATGCAATTCTTGTTTTACAATCATAATATGTTCATAATATGTTGCTCTGGCCAGATATGCTCCCAGACTGTCAAGAAATGGTAAAACCAAGCATTGTTAAGCTACGTATTGTTCTAGCTAGCAGGTTTAGCCTTGTAAATCATTACTCTGCAGGCTGCTGTTTTCTGTGATCCTGATCTGGGAGATCCAGCTTGACAATTTTAAGCTACTGTTTCCTCACTCTTCATAACTGGGGCCACATTTTAAAGCATTTCTGCCTAGTTTTATGTTCATCTGTTTAACATCTGCTGACTTGTGTTGTCCTGATGATTAGTTTGGCAGTAGAATTTTATTTCTGTTGCTCTCATTTTGCCCTTAGTCCCTGTCCTCCTTCCAACATAGATTTAAGTTTTTGTCAGTCCGCCCCTTTCAACACACTGTTAAGAATTCCTTTTGAGTTATTTTGTAATGCATATTTAGTACTTATATTTGTTAAGTCTGTAAAGCATGGCAAACTTTTGGTAAAATAAAAATTACATTTTATAACACATTATTGATATAGTAATATACTATGTTTTATTATATAGAGAGTTATTCAGCCATAAGCACAAGCAAAAAGTGCTATCATAGTTGGAGAGTACTGTATAGGTAAGATACAATGTACTGTATATCTAGGGAATAATGATTTGTTTACTCAGATTTGGAAATTACAGGTATTACTTGTCACAAAAGAAACTTTATACTTTAAATGGCTATGTACTTTTCACTGTGAAGTTGAAAGATATTGGGTATTATCTTTTTAATCGCATAGTAAGAAGGATATCCGGGAACAGCAATGGATAACTGATTTTGCACTGTTGTGTTGTAGTGCAAGGTTATTATTTGTATTCTTACTGGAGCGTTGACTTATTCATTGAGCTTACATCTTCTATACATACCTAATGGTAAATCTGGGAAAATGTTTCTGATGAAAAGAGTAACAAAAATAGAAAAAAAATTTATTGTGTGTTGCACCTGCCTACTCTTTCTTGAATTCCTTTGTGCATGTGTTATAATGATAATAATTATTAGAAATAGTAGTATTGATGATAGAAGTCTTATTCATGGCATTATACTGGTAGAATCCCTTTGGCAAAATGTAAGAATATATGTGTTTGTTACTTCCTGTAATGGCAATATTAATAATTCCTAAATAGGCTACTGCTTATTTTCATTTTTTTTGTTTCCATAAATTAAAATTGCAGTTAATAAATTAGTTGCACAGGTTTTTTATTGTTGTACCCATTCCACACTTACCTTAAACCATATTTGAGTCAGTGGAACTGGTATTATCTGCCAAAACATTTCTCAAATTACCACTTCAACAAATTTAAAACTATGTATTTGTGACTACTAGGTTGAAGCCCGAGAGAATATTATTAAAACACTTGAAGGATGTGATCTTGGGAACTCTGAAAAGTGTGTCCGGGTTAACTCTGTGACCAGTGGCCTTGCAGAAGAAGATCTGGAAGTCATTTTGCAGTCAAGAGTTTTGCCCTCCTGTATCATGCTCCCCAAGGTGGAGTCTGCTGAAGAGATAAATTGGGTGAGTTCCACAGCCCCTTCATTCAGTTGTCTGCTATATCTTCTAATCTAGCAAACCCCAGCAGTAAACAATGAGTCTGATTTACTAAAGGATTTGAGAATGTTCTCACATTAAATGTATACAGGTTTACTTCAATTATCAAATCATGTTAAAAGAAAATCCCTGTTTACTTTTTTTCTTCTGCATGATTGGATAATTATATTGTGTGAATATTCATTTCATTGTGTGAGCATTCTCAAATCCTTTAGTACATGGGACTCATGATCTCATTACAGTTGTGCTTTTTGTTTTGTTTTTTGTTTTTTTAACATATCCAATGGAAATAATTAAGGATCTAAATATAAATACAAAGTAAGGGAGGGGCTTCTTGGTGCTCTCAGCGATTGGTGCCAAGAGGGTACAATAGAGATGTAAAATCAAAAGTCATTAACCGAATAACACATTTTGTCTTCTAGCTTAGACACCAGTTTATTGTTCACTATAATACATGTATTGTATAATAATAAGGTGCCAAAATATTAGTTTACAGGGACATAAGGTTATTAAATCAGTATATGCAAGCTAGTTATGATACGCTCATGGAGGGCCATGGCATGCTACAATACCATCATAAAATATTTACTGAGATAATATATTTATTTATCTCATGTGCTTCATGTTAACATATTTACATTACAATCTCATGATAAAATGAATATTGTTCATAAAAACTGAATAATGCAGTAATATGGATTTTATTATGAAGTTCCTTAAAGTACATTTTCCAGGGACAAATTTCAGAACGTCATACCAAGAAATTAGCAAGTAACAAGTGGCTAATGTATAAACCCTACTTGAAGTTATACTACATTAGGCATAAAGACACCTCTTTAATTGTACTACAAAAATTGTTTTTGGTAATACCAAAATGTGTTTTGCTAAAGAATTTCTCCAGTGGCTTAAATATCCTCGCAGTCTTCAAAACAGTCTGTATTATGTTCTGTATCTAAATTTATGAATATTCCATCATTGTGTTCTTCAATGTACACTCTCACCAATATTACCTAAGCAGTACTCAGAATGTTATCTTTAAATCCACTTACCTGGTTGCCCCACTGTGTTTCCATTTTAAATTATTTTATACATTTGACATATTAATATATATTTACCTAATCATCTTTTTTTCATGTTCATTCACACACATACTGTATTGTTAAAGGGCCAGTCTCCCTAAAACTTATCTTTCAGAGTTGGGCCATGTAATATTTTTTTTATGTCTCCGAGGGACCCCTGGGGCAAGCCCTCTATGTTTTAGGTTCCCAGGCCTGCAAATCTGCCTTAGACATTACAAGGGAGTACCACTCTACTGGGTTTTTGAATTTATTTATTGCAACATGGGAAATAGGAAAACCAACTTTCTGAGGTAGTTGGAGTCAGGAACTGTGGAGTCCACAAGTGAAAAAGAAGCTGTTGGGCAACTCTGCTTTAAGGTGGACTTACCCTTAGATAAAACGTAAAACAGTCATGCACTTAAACGTTAAGACCTGGTATTTTGACTTAACATAAATTGCCCCTGCAACTATGTTAAAAGAAACCCACTGAGAAAATGGCTGATTGACCAAGAACACATATGTAGATAAGTAATTATCACTTTATGTGCATGCATGTTCCAGGTCAGTGGCATAGAAACTATTGAATGCTGGTATCTAGAAGGATGTCAGTAATAGCAGTTCCATTTCTCTCAGTAAAGGTTTCCTTCAAAAAGGGACAGAAACAAAATATGTATCACTTAATATCAGAGGTCTACAGCTGCACAGAGGACATGGTTATAAGTAGGGATGTTCACATACCAGTTCAGATACCAGTGCCAATACTTGGCATTTTCCCGAGATCTACCAGGATCACAGCAGTTGCAGCTTCACAGTGACGCTACACCACTGTCCTAAAATCATTAGTCTGTATTGTTTTAGAAAAACTGAAGTCTAGTCTTGAAGCTGGAAAAGTATCTGCACTTGTGCTGAGTACGGTGCTTGATATCTGAACATCCCTAGATATAAGTGAACCTGATATGGGATAAATGTATAACTTGAATGTGTAGAAAATAATTTTGCTTTATTATTACCAGCCATGTTGCTGTATATGAATGTATCCATGAATTTATTTGGACTAAGCTTACCTACAACTTGACTGCTGTTGTTTTGGTTAGCTAGAAAGTAGAAAGCCCCTCCTTTTTAATTGTCTCTATATAATGATGTCTTAATTGTACTAAATTATATAGCACTAATACTTTATTACAGAGAACATTACACCTGTCCCTGAAAGAGCCCTGTTACAGTCATCTGTGCATACACATGGAGCATAGCCATGGATGCCAGCATTTTAAGAAGGATAAACACAGACCCTGGTAGTCATATTAGAATGTACATCCCAAAGTTATAGTAATAAACAAACCAATGCAATAAATTCTGTACATTCGAAAAAGGTCTGTTTAGCCCAAAATGTCACCTGTTCATGTACAAATGTTTTAGAAAACTGTATGTTGCATTATTTTTAATATTGAATGCCGATAACAGTTGAGCTTTTATCAAAATACAATGCCAACGCATTGGACACTAGACAGAGTGCACTGGGCGCTGGTTTTACACACATAAGCAAACGTTTTTCTGAAATCTGAATCTGAATCTGAAATAATAATATGATGGGGAGCCTTAATTGCATGGATTTGCAAATATAAGCCATCCAGTGCTTTGGAGGAGTTTCTTCTGAATCAACAGACAGATTTTGTTCACAGTGTCTTCGCGCATGGAAACTATAGCATTTATTTGCATGGATGAAATGATATAGCATTTGATTAAAAAAATTATATATAAAGCCTCATTTGTTTCATTTTTAATGTATGAGGATAAGTGCAGTCATTTCATAGATCCACCTATTGCTGTGTGTACTGATGCAGAGCTACTAAGCAACTGAAAATGTCCACATGCATTTATTGTAGAGTAGGCATTTCCCCATGTGTCAAATGCTGTACAAGCAAGTAAAGCAAAGTAAACCCATCACACATGCATAAATAGTGCATCTTTAGGCATTTACTACGTAGTAGAATATAGTCATTTTCAATCACCTCTAATAACTGGTCAGGATTCCACTATTATGTCACCTCTTATAGAGCCACCTATATAAAGCCCATCATGTTAAGCAGTGTATCTCTAGAACAAACACAGCTGGCCACTAGCTTAGGTGACATGTATTATACAGCAAATTTAACATTTTGACAGCTTGTCAGCAGCTAAGGAACTAGAAATCCCAGCAAAGTCCATAAGCAGCAGGTTGTCTACTGCATTATAGCGTGTGCATGGAGGAAAGCAAATCTAACATCCCTTTTACAGAAATCTGTCACATATGAGGAAAGAGCACAGTTTTGTAGAAATAATTTTTACCTTTTAAATCCATGCTGCCATTTCAGAATAATCAGCAGTGGGAAATCATCAGTTTTGTCACTTCTTATTTAAATTTCACTTTTGTGGAAATTTACATAGGAGCAGCATGTAGTCTTGACGCTGCTCTCTGTCTGAGTGTTAAAGATAATTATTCAACATGGGCACATCCAGTGTGATTTTGGTAACAAGTGTTATTTCTGTGTGACAATTATTAGCATTGCCCTTTTGAATTAAATAAAAAATGTTTAGTCAGCTTTCCTTTGGCACACTTAAAAAATGTATATCTGCTAATCACTGGTAAAATAATGTTATATTTAACATATTTGCTATATTGTACAGTACATTATATCAAGAATTACCGACCAGTTATTCATTTTCATTATCACAGCTACTCAATTAATGGAAAGTCAGTTCAAGACCTTGTAATATGTCTTCATAGAGTAACTTCATACATCAATATAGTCTAGAGAACACATCAACATATGAGACAAAATGGCTATAAAGAAAAAAAAAAGGGACAGGGTCACTTTTCAGGGCACCTGGGAGAGCAAACAGGAAGCTTTTAACTAGTGTTTTTAATTAGCACCGATATTATTTCCTGAACTGTTCTCTGCTTCTTCTTTTTTTAATTGCTGACAGGTGTGTTTGTGTTTCATGACTGCGTTTTCAGCCAATAAAATCCTGGAAATGTTAAGTGGCATGTCAAATGTCTTTACAAAATGTGTAAATAATCTAATTGCACAAAAGAAATTATAAATAGCAAATTAATTGTGCCATGTCATTTTTATGATGCCATATAAAGAATGTAAAGCACTCCTATTTACCTTTTGGCACATTACATTTAAATATAGCGCACATTACAGGTATCTTCTATATAGGTGGAGCATTACCCGAATGGCTACATTGAGAAATTAATAAGGGACCCACTTAGCCATTAACTTAAGCAAGGGAGGTTTTCATAACATGCAAACTTAAAAAGAAAATAATTTATTTTGGGGTTTACTTAATAGAACAAGTTAAGTAAAAAATTGCTCTGTCTTCAAGCTTAACATATTTTTTCATCTTCTGGTACTGTTGTCTATATTTGGTTAGCCCTGTAAACATACAATGTTAGTTTTGGTTTAAGCAACAGATATCTGTTATACAAAATATTCCCTTTAAAAGAAAGAAATCGTAGTAAAAAATACTTGTATTCCTGTCTTTTCCTTCCAAATCCAAACAGATAAATATTGCCATTTTCAAGTGATGTTTCAGTGGGTCATAAGCCTGCATATGCCACATTGCAATGTTTAATATGTGCAGACATTGGACATATTACCTCTGTTTTTAATGTGTCTTAATATTTTAATATTTTATAGTGTTACATATAACATTCAACTTAATTTTATTTCTCTAGCCTTGAATTATATTTTGCAGGTCACAGCATTGTGTCTGAGTTCAGCAGAATAAGAGCCTGCTGTGTTTTACATTTGTCACTAGCCAATCGCCTGCAATGTGAACTAGTGGTTTGCTAATCTGTTAGTGATGCCAGATTTTCCAGAAGGCAATGTAGTTTTTTTGTGCTTTTGTTAGTAAATTATTTGC